GCATGTTGATTTGCGCAGTCAGCGTGTCACTGCCACAAATATTCATCTGTTTGATATATATGCTCTATAAATAGCAGCACTATGAAGTATCATTAATTAAGTTCATGTCTTTTTTCGCTGTCATTCCCTGGCCAAAACCCAGTAGGCCGCCCGCGCATGTATAAACAGTTTTCGAATATAATTTGTAACCAAAACAAATTCATATCGAGCTCCACAGTGCAGGTGGTGGCTTAACACGACCAACAACATTTGCATTGCATTAAGGCAGTTAATGCCAATTTGCAAGCCACGAAAGCCACAAGTAGCAGCAAATGTTGCCAGAAACTCAGACTTCATTAATTATTATATATGAAGAAAATGCAAATATAAATCAACAACTACAATTGTTTCCCGATTTATTTATATTTATTTCAAAAGTAAGCAAAAACTTTTACCCTGTCTCTAGCACCGAAACAGATTGTTTTGATTTATAATGAAATGTAGATGTATAGTATTATCTATAATTTTTGAAATGAGTTTGAATGAATTTTCACAAACAACACAATATACTCACACGATTTGAAAATCTATTCTACTAAGATAGGCTAAGGTTAATATTGATGAAATAATGTTTTCCAAATGCTAATGGAGACCATTAGGAATTGATAACAAATCAGATCAAAAAATTTAAATCTGGCTATAGAAAGTCATAATTAAGTTTCATTTTCGTAATCTCGTTAGCTCAGAAAATGTTGCGTATATACGAAAAAATGGCGCGAAAAATGAAAAAATTCAAACCACCACAACAGGCTCGACAACATGAAAAGGTTTTTCCTAGAATCGATGTGCGATTGCACGAATTTCCCCCGCCCTTTAAAACTGTTAATTAAATTGCTGAAGTGCCGCTGTCCATTTGGCCCGACGCTAGAGCTGTATTGCTTTCCTCTCGCCAGGCGTAATGAAATATAATCCAGATGATATGAGCGGCTTCCTACCAGGCTTTTGTGGCTTTTTGAAGTCCACAGAACAGATAAATATGTACATATATATGTGTGTAGCACTACTTGTATGTATGTACTCGTACTTCATGGCAGCAACACCCCGCCCGCAAAAGCGACCACTCAATCTCTTTCTGGGTAGGCACCGCTAATTTGTTTTTTAAGGCAGCTCTGGACGACCGCCTGCAATGCCTCATGCATAATTTATTTACCGCAAATTCGCATTGAATTGCGTTTGCACGTGTGCCACAGTCTGCCCTGCCCTGCCCTGCCCTTGGGTCTGGCTCTGGCAATCCCATCAGGCTACACAAATAAGCTTTTGATAGGCAGCGGCAGCAGCAGCTGCGAAATAGCGAAGGAGCGAACGCTTTGCAAGGATATGGCCATGCAATTTGGCTATTAAAAATCATTAGCAAGACATTTTATGTGCTCATGCACTTTGCTTGCTGTTGACCACTTTGAAATACTGGCAGCATTTTGGCCGGCTTACATACCCTTCTATTGGCTGCGACGACATTGCGGGGCGTTTGCAGGAGGTAAATATTTCTAGATGAATTTTTTGGCAGCAGGCGAAACTGGTACTTGCACTTACCTGTACCATTTTGCTTAAAGCCCACTAAAATGTTGTGGCTTGAAGCAAACATTGTACAGTGGTATGCATATTTCAGTTAACCATCACAAACTACCAGCGATAAAATATTCCATGAAATGTGCCACAAATTCTATAGTTTTGTTTTGATTTTGATCAAAAATTTATTTGTCTTTTGGCATTCTACCCTACTACAAGTATTCAACAGCTTTCTCTGCTGAAATAATAGCGATTCAAAAGGCAGTATTATTTGCGATATTTGCTCCGACTAGCTGCCAGCTATTGCGGCCATCACTAAGGTCTAACCAACTAAAGGCTTAATAGCCCCAAATTCCTGGATTTTATATTCATCTGCAATGAAAAAGCTGTCTTAATCGCCAAACTCTCCAACAACTAAAAATGCAACAACAACCAACTACTCCAATACGAAACAAGCCAGAACGCAAATTCTCAAACAAAACATCATTGATAAAACACTCCAGGCTTCACCACATACAATTTCCAACCACAAGTATAATTTCCCATATCCCGTAACCCCAATCTTATGTTACTTAGAAAACAAAAGATCCGGGCAACCAACTTCAAGAACTTGTTCTGTTCTTGGAGTTCTCTCTTTTAAGCAAAAGCGCTTGCGCAAAGTTTTGTGTGTAATTAAATAGTTAGATCTTAGATTAGAAGCAATACCATAACAAACCAATCATTATTTGGCTGAAATGCGACGTTGAAGGTTCATTGTCTCATATGAATGAATAATTTTGGAGTTCCAAAATAATGATTTCCATATTTAATCACAGTAAGGAATTGATTTCTGTTCATCTAAAGCAAAACTCCAGTCCACTGTGCTTTAAGATTAGTCGGCAGGAACACTTTGCAGATAATTTAGTTTTATATAAGCAAGCTACACAGGCACGTCTAATTTAAATATATTTACTAAAAATCCCCAAACCAACGGAGAAGATCTTAAAGTATGGACTGTCGTGCGCCTGGCCTGTCAGAATCGGAGAGCTGCGAAATCACGCACGTGTCTAGTGACGCGCCGGTAGACGAGGAGGAGGGACTTGATTTGGATCTGATCTACGACAGACTCGAGAGCATGAAGCAGCGTCTGTTATATCTGAGAAGCTTGTTGGTGTGCGTGAACACGGGGAGGGCCTCAAACGGAAAGGGTCCATGCGAGCAGCACATCGAGGGGAATGGCTCGATCAACTTGGAGCTACGACAGTTGCAAAAAGCCGCAGCTCGGATGGCACAGGAAATGAATGCGCTGATGAAGAGTTATATGAGCAGTCGGAAAGACTACACAGATCTCAGTGCGAGAGTCGAGCACCAGAAAAAGGAAGTTCAAAAGCTGGAGCAGGACCTAGGACAGGTGCCCAAGTGGCAGGAAGAGACGCAGCATAAGCATGGACTCTGCATCGAACGCTACAATGATCTACGCATCCATTGCCTCACTTCGAACCAAGTGCTTGGTTGCTTTTCGGAGATGCAGCGTGACTTTTCCAACAAGGTCCAATTCAAAACATCCATTAGGTGCTTCAAGAAGGACAAACATGAGTTTATCGAAAAGTGGCGGGAGTTGAAGTGCTTGAGAAGAAATATGACCACCAGGCTTCTACTGCACGTCAACAAGGTTGAGAAAAGCGTGGAAGAGCAAACGCGATTACGTTCTTACAGACCCAATACTTGTATGTCAAAGGAGTCCGTAACTTCCTTTATATTGTCGTTTCTGACAGACGATATGGGACGACAGATACCGAAAATCAAAGGGATCCTTAAACTTGATCTCGATATACAAACGAAAGGTGAAGACGATGGTGACGATGCTGCCAAGACTTTAAAACCTAATCATAGTTAAAGTTACTTTTAACAAATATATTTCTGCACTCTTGTTCGTTACTTTTCCCGATCTACCAAGCTCTACCGATTCCATTTTGTAGTTAAATGTAAATAAAATTGCATTCTCTGAGTTATTCATATTCAATAGAGAATTGAACACAGAATGTCTGTTGCATGGCAACAATACTATCATCTAATCAACTAAGATCTGCAGACTTACAATATTATTGATCTACTTGTATACACTGATAAAAAAGTTGCACAGTACGGATGAATATTTTCATATTAAATTTATTGTTCACCTATTTCATATTCAAATCAAATAAAAACATCGTAAATTTTACTAAAAACATATTCAATTAGTGATTTTAATATGTTGATATGCACACACTTCAAAAAATAAATAGTTAAATTTAGTATATTCCATAGTAAATTATAATATTTTTCTGAACTCTGAACTAAAATTTGAAGTTTTTTGTAGTGGATTTAAATATACTAGAAATATATTAAATTTAAATTGACTAGAATTCTCAAGTCTGTTTTCAGCGGTTGTGTGGCATGGTCGTGGATATGGTCGTTAGGTATGTGTCAAGTAAGTGTTATTCAATCAGATGCTTCTCACTTTTAATATTAATATTGATCCAAACTATATCTGTACTAAAGGGCATAAAAAAATATCAAAAAAATTAATTCATTATAACAAAAAAACTTTAAGATTACTCTATGCTAAAAATGGTGGTTCTATAGAAAAAAAATATATATAATAGAAATAAAATATGCATCATGATAATGTCAATATTGAAAAGAGTTAACAAAAAGAACAGTAGCATAGACAAAAAAGTGGAAAAAATATGTTATAATTATAAAAAATAAACCTTTGGCGTGAATCAAACCCACGTCTCCACATTGTGATTTAATATCGTCACACTTCAAATTTAATATTTTAATACTAAATTTTTAAATTTAAGTGTGCTTACTTCATATTTACTAAAACACACGATGGTGCAAAATCGATGGTAAAAATAGTTAAATCTACGTGTAAATATTGAAATTTCCGTGCTTTTTTTATCAGTGTACAAAGGCATTTGAGTTTTTAAACAAAAGGATAAAGTTATTTATCATTAAATAATAGCTATCTTTCAATTTCAAGCCGTTAACTACTCATTCATCAATAGCTGTCGAGCAATTTCAACATTATCTTTTGGAAATATTTTATAGTGCTCGTATACTTCTATGTATAGTATGAACTAACTTATTTGCGCTACAAATTGCATATTTTTCAAGGATGCTCGTAAGTTTTCTCAATTCTTATGGCAGATTTCCTCCTTCCCAGGTGCGAGCTCCTTGTATCAAATATTCATTATGGCCAGTTCTGACAGTCTGGCCAACGTTTCATGGTGTGCAACTTTTAGCCAAGTGGATGGCTGGCCAAACTTGGCTGCAAATCAAATTAGTTCAACAGTAGCAACAACAACAACAACAACAGCAACTGGAACAAGCACTGTAGATAATTAAAATTTGTTGCAAACCACACAAGCACACACATGAAACAACAAAATATGCAATTTAAGTGCATTGCTTGGGAAACTTTTCAAACCACAACTGCCAGCGCTAATTTTACAAAAATAATTTATAAATATAATATGTGCATGCGAACAAAAAAGCAATGCATTGCTAATTGTGCAAAATGTTTGCTGCATATTTTGTTAACAATTTTTGTAAATTTCCACACAGACACACACACACACACACACACACACACAAAGATGCAATTAAACACTAAGTCTAATTGAGTTTCATGCTGAGCAGAGAAAATGAAGGCAGGCAACAACTTTTGTCTTCTCAAGTTTGGCCAAAAGTGGCCTTCAGGAAAGTTCTTGGCAGGTGCTGTTGAAAATTTAAATATGATATAATGCGTATACGCCAGATGCGCCCCCCCATTCCACCCCACACGCACACACACACACACACACACACACACACACACACACACACAAATCTGAGCAGGCTACACAACACAAAATTGATGAATATGACACGCACACAAAACAGCATTCCATGTGATGAGGGTTCAATAATCAACACGGTGGTCCTAAAAATATACTTATTTATATCCATGAGTGTGTGTTTGACACACTTGTTGCTTACGCACACACACACGCACACACAGACACACACACACTCAAGCAGAACTGGCTCGTTTGTCTGCTTTTGTCATTTCACTTATCAGTTTTGTGCAAACGAAAACAAAACGAAAGTTTTCTTACCAAATTAATTGAATTAACTTTGTCATTCTGCTCTGTTAGAGCCAAACAGCAAAGTTGACCACAAAATTCATAAGATAGTGCTTACCACACCACCATCGAATGTGGACAGGACAGGTCTGGATAGACATGAAGTTTGCCACAACTTGCCTAAAAATTGACCAGAAATCTTGCCAAAAATCCAGTTAAATCGTCTGGCATTTAAATTGTTGTTGACACGCTGCTGATAACTTTAAACACAAATCTAAGGACCTACATAATATGCGAAAAGGAAAACGTGCTATTTTCATGGCATAGGCTTCTTTCAGCCGCCTCCATTTGTGAATCCTTTGCATTGGCTCTTGTTCCTGACAGGGCGATCTGTTGACACCTCTCTGCATACCTGAAATTCCCATACTTGACTCAGCACTCAATGCAATACACGTTTATACTGAAGTTGGACTCCTGATGTCCTTATCTAGGGCATGTTTCATGCATATTTATATGCCATCCAACAAGGCGGCAAGCACTTCAGGATGGAAAGGGTCACAATTCCTAATCAGATTCGACTGCAAATTAGTATGTGTACGTATGTAGATCATTGTGCAATTATTTAGCTGAACTCTACAGTTTGTTAACACACGTGTCTAACAAAATTGAAAGCGAAAGGCAAATAATTTGCACACAGAATTGTCAAATTATTCAAGTAGGCCATGAAAGGTCAACTCAAACAAACTTAGACCAAAGCATGGTTATTGCTTTTTGAGATAAATAACCCCACCACTACCATGATAATCGAGTATATGTTGTTGCGAATTTGTACACAAATTATTTGTCTGTTTGACCGCTGTCTGTCTAACTACAGGAACTTTCCAAATAATATTTATTAACCCATGAAACACATGCTTTTTTATGCACCATCTTTATAAAAAGCTAACAGAATAGTTTAAAATTCGGAAAAAGTTGTTATTAGATCATTAGGGAAGCTTTGAAATTACTTTTAATCGTATATACGAATATCCCAAACATTACTTTAGCTATTGCAATGAAACAAAGAAGACTGTCCAACTATTTTTTCTTTGATTTAGATTTATGGCTAAGGACTATTTAATTTGCGATGCAGCTTACAAAAGTGTTTATTTTAATCTAGTTTCCTCTATTTTGCCAAACACGGATTTCGACCCTCATCAACTTTGGCAGGCACTTTAACCCTAACAAGCCGCTTTAGAATTAATGCACTGACCTTTATGCATTTTAATCCACAGACATACTTATATTTTGGTCTGAATGTTGTTGAAAGCCGGAGTTAATTAGGCAGGTAGAAAATGGTATTGGTAATGGTTGGGATCCGGACACTCAAACTCTCTAAATTCTCGGCTTAAATGCCGATCAAAAAGAATTGAGCAAATACATTTTCTTGTATAGAATCTTTAAATATTCATCAACCTGAATAGCTCGCCAGCGACACTATTCAGTTAACTTTAGTCGGCTGTCGCCTGCCACATGCCACTTGCCAGATGCCAGATACCTCACCAATTCCTTCATTTACTCATTCATTCATTTGCCAATTCATTAAGTCAGCAGCGCAATGCAATTGCAAGCACAATGCACAAAACTTTGGCCTCAAAACAAATCGAAATTTTAATAAAAATTCTTACGCTAAATTAATTTGAACGCCACCAAAACAAAAGCAAAAACAAAAGCAAAAACAAAAGCAAAAACAAGAACAAGAACAACAGCAACAGCAGCAGCGACAGCGACAAGAATGTTCACGTTGATGTGAGCCAGCATTGCTTTGCTCGTCCTTGCCATCATTGTCGTCCAACTTGCTCCGCTTAAGTGGTGTTAAGTATTTGAGAATCTGGGTGCCTGTGTGCGCCTCACCAGCGTTCGTGAGCAACGGCCGTTTCCAGTTTTATTGTTTAACGACAGTTGGCCAAATACTTTGGCAGGCAAAACTTTTGCGCTCATGGTCATTCAATTGTCTGTGATTTACGAACCGAACACAGACACTCCACCAACACAGCCCCAGCCCCAGCCCCAAACCCAGGCCCAGTCCAAACTTGCATTCCCAACTCCGTTGTCGTTTAGGCTTATTGATTTATTAGTGGGTACTCCAATCGCTCATATCTTGTCGTAGCTCTCGATGATGCTGTGGGCGCGAACTGCTACCAAGTCCCTGATACAATGTGCCACAGGCGTCACCACACAGAGCGGCTTCTGGCCACTGAAGTAGGCATTAGGGGCGTTGGCGTAGGCCACCTTGCGGGTGTCAAGCCAGGAAGTAAGCTCGTCGAGACAGGCGCATTGCCAGGGATTGCCTTCGACGCTAATGCGACGCAATTGCGACAGAGTTGCATTCAGTGCGGGCAGAAATGTCAATCGATTGTTGTTGATCTCCAACGAGAGCAACTGTTCAAACAGTGTCAGGACATCGGACTCGATTTCCGGCAGCCAATTCTCGCTCAGTGTGAGAACCTGCAGCCGACGTAATGGGGCGAACATGCGAACGTCCAGATGGGTCAGCTTATTGCTCTTCAGCTTGAGGGACTGCAGGAAGGGCAGCGATGCAAAGGCCAGTGGATGCAGCACCTCAATGCTGTTGACGCTCAGATCCAATTGTGTCAGCCTGCGAAATAGCGTTTCACCAAAGACCATGGACCCAATCTCCCTGATTGTATTTCGGCTCAGGTCCAGACGCTCCAGGTTATTTAAGTTGGCAAACACATTATCGGGCAATCTGGAAATTTTGTTGCCCTGCAACCGGAGTGAACGTAGTGCCTTCAATCCCACAAACGCTTTGCTGCCAATCTCGCTCAACTGATTGCTCCACAGATTGAGCGTCTCCAGTCTATTCAGTCGGCTGAAAACCAAATCTGGCAGCACTCTCACATTATTCGAGCTGTAGTCCAGCAGCAGCAAAGGCGCTCCTTGCTCCCCACTGGCGCCCGTAAAAAGTTCCGGACTTACTGCATAAATATTGTTATTTGACACATTGAGGACACGCAGCTCGGGCAGAGTCTCAAATAGGGCAGTGTCCAACACCTCCAGCCAGTTACTGTGCAGATGCAGTTCCCGGAGCTTGGGAAGCCCTCGCAGATGGCACCAAGCGAACTATGGGCGATACGAGCAGGAAAAGCAATTAAAGTTAAACGAAACATAACTGAAAACTGTCAACGTGAGAGCCTAAGTATTACAAGCCGACAAACAGGGACTTGTGTAACTTATTTAAAAGGCAAAAGAAAGAGTTTTATGTAGACTTCAAATGCGCATACCAAGCTTATTACAAATGATAATTTTATAGCCACATTTGCACTCGTTGAAACTCACCTTTTTTTAGAAAAATCTATTAACTTCTGGGTCTTACAAGGACCTTAGCGTTGAATTTGTTTTTAATTTCTTTTCAAAGAAGCGTTCAAAATCATGAGAATATTAAATGTGTTTTATAAGTTCTGACTACGTAATGTTTTAAAAAATCTTGAAAAGCGTTTAGACGATTTGATTAGATTATTAATCTTTAAGTAATAGGCATATGTAAGCTCTGCAATCAATTTCAAGAAATTTCCAATTTCAATTAAGAAGGGGGAAAACGGCTATGGTTTGGTCCTGAATCTGCATACCCTAAAAAGTGGTTGAAAATAACTCTATTTAAATAATTTCACTATGGAGAGCATTCGAACTAAACTCATTTAAATTTGTGGCGACGTGGAATATTAAAAAGAAAATTGTGGATATGTGGGATTACTTGTATGTATCATCGATTGAAGCTTCTTCACTCACATCTCTAACATTGTTGTTGCTTATGGACAGGTACAGCAAGCTCGGGCAGTCACCAATGGTCACATTTCCTTGCTCATTGGTGGTCATATCCAGAAACTGCAAGTGCTTCAAGTCCTTGAAAGCGTGCAACTCCACAGAAGCGATTAAGTTGTTCGACAGATTCGCATAAACCAAGTTTGGCAGCTGTTCCATGGCGTTTCTTGAAATCTCTTGTATGTCGTTGAAGCTGGCATCCAGATTGCGCAGCTGGACGATGCCCTGCAAGTGCTTCGCTTGCAGTTTGTCCAGCTGGCAGTACGTGATATTCAGTTGCTCCAGGGCCTCAAAGTCCCTGAAACCATTTTCGGACAAAGTCAAGCCCTTTGAGTCCGACAGATCCAAACTGCGCAGCTCGGCCAACTTGGGCAATGGTGTTGTTGCTAGGATAGAATGTCGGGCCTATTAACACCTCCTGCAACTAAACTAACTGCATTTAGTAGTATTTACCGTCATTCTCAATACCCCTATGCTCGTTTACAATACGCACACTCTGCCAATTGCTTTGTACGCGCTCGTTCAGCTGTTTAAAGCTCTCAATTTCACGGCATATGTAATTACTGTGCTGCAGGAGCTGGCACTCCTGTACATCCTTGGAGAGCACTTGCCTTAAGGGCAACAGCAGGAGCAGAACAAACAACTGCTGCTGCATCTTTTGAACCTCGAACATCACTAAATGCGCCAACTCTCCCTACTGACCAAAGGCGTAGCGTCGCTGGTTTTATTTATGTAGTATATACTACTTATATTTCCAAACTTGTTTCACGCCTTTAGTATCAACACGCGAAGTCAACTCATGCGTTAATTCGCCAACAGGCCGGTCCCGAAAAGCGAAAGCAGAAACAAGATCAGAATGCATGGAACAAAACACGGAGAAGCAAAATGCGAACTCAGTTTACTGACCTTTGAAAACCGCATTGCTTTAAGAGGGTATTGAAAGAGTAAGGGGAGAATTATATCCAGATTATCGGAAGCAAACTGTCTGTTAAAACATATGTATAGTATGTTTTCAATTAAAACTTTGACGAGATTCGTCACAGTTTTTTGTTGGATTCAGTGGAACTGACGAATGGAGAAAGCTACAACTAATAAGCTTATTTTTGAGGGGGCATGCATCCAACCTAATGGTTGCAGATGATGCTCGTATTTTAAATTGAAATGTTGCTATATAACTTGCTATTGTTATGTAACTTTTACTCCAAATACACAAATACACTTTCAACAATTTAATAAATTGTCGCATTTTTCTAAACTTTAAAACGTTTTGAAAAACTGCTTATTCGCAAAAAACTGCTTGTGGCACTTGGTGTGAGTCTCTGCATAAGCACAGACACAATCCACAACGATACCAGCCACATTGTGGATCCGATTCATGCTCCAGGTTCAGTACTATTTAAAAAAGCGAGCAAAAACGCCTCGTAAAACTAAACAATTTTTTTCTCTATAGTCATGGGTGATATATTTGGAAATAAAATGTATCACTACAAAAAAATGTTTACGCTTTTTAAAACTTGGTCATCGATTCCACCTTTTGGAGCATGGACAAATATTCAATTCGTTCCATAACGCGAGGAACATTGAGCCAAGCAGTCCAATTTTTTCGAGACAAAGTCCTGTTTTGCTCGGCATCGGTTTTCTCCTGCTTTTCTTGCCAGATAAAGATAAGGAAAATGGGTCTAAGTCGAGAAACACACAAACTGGAAGATTGTGAATAAATAGATTGTTAATTAATATTTCCCATTCGCTTTCATACATACAATCGGATTGCATACTTTATTGCACTATAAGTGCAGGATATAAAAAATATAAAACAATTTAAGAATCAACAGCTAATAAGCTCGATATACATAATGCTTATTTTGACACCTTGCTTCGATCCAATATACATATATTTAAATGCATATGGCTTTCTATTTTAGTTGGAGAGTTTTACTTATTATAAACCTCCGTGGTTGTTCATGAGTAAGGGGCTTTTTAGATCTTCTAGCTCTCAAAGAACATAAAGTCCTAAAAAACATATTAAAGGTGGACATTAGCTTTTAAATTTAAAATTAAATGTAAAATAGCTCACAATTAGAAATGTAGCTCCAAGTAGCACAGCCTTAGTCCGTGCATCCAAATCCAAGGGAAAAGTAATGCCAAAGAAGTCCGCATCAGTAAACAACTCACGGGCCAAGCCAGACCATTGCTTTGAAATTTTTCCGACTTTAGTGCCCGAGAGTGTAACGATCTGCCAACACACAAATAATGAATAGCCCATGAAAGCTGACATTTATTTAACTTACGTCAAAATCCACATCACCAAAAAAAGACGTAGTAGAGAAAGGTCCCTCAATACGCATCACGGTATCTCCCAGATGATCCTTGACCTTAAATGAAGGCGACAACAATGTCAGTTCCTGCTCGATGGAACCGACTATGTTACCAGGTGGTGCGGTCACCTCCAAGTTTTCAACACAACAAGGGCCACAGGCTGAGGGTCGGGACAAGTGAATGACTTCTTGCTTTGAAGTGTCAACAATTCTTATTTCAAATGGACGCTCAGAGCCGTAACACAGACGTGCACAGCCGTCGGTGTCCCCAAATGCCATATACACGCCTTGGCCAAGGATATTCTTAATAGCGTATTTGTTGTTAGTCTCAATACCTGAGAGATCCTCGAACAGCTCCCCTTTCTGCTTAATCAACAGTTGATCGACAGCCGACAAGTATTCCAAACCAAGAGGGCACTGGGGAATACCTGCTGGTCCGGAATTCGTGCCAACTGAAAAGTATAATCGGTATTAGTTTGTTTCGATTTAAATTCATTTTTCTTTCACCTGGTGCCGATGGCTGAGCCACAACCACAGGCTGTGGTTTTGATGGATTGGAGTCGCCATTTGCTGGAAATTGTGACATAATCGTTAATTTCTCTTCACCAAGGCAAGCAGAAACAATTTAAATTTATAATTGAGCCTCGACTCAATTAGGCGCTAATGAAAGTAAAACTATAACTGTGTATACCAAAAATAAACGGCGCGACGCTTCAGAGGCTAGCGAATTCGCAAATAATTGTTATTGACTGCGGTGCTTAGCTCCAATAAGCTTTCCTCAGAGGAGGTCACGACTCATATAACTTGAAGATACCCGTATAATTACGCAATTCTATTGATATGTTTATGATTAGTAGCACGTCTTAGGGATGAAGGCCGGCGCGAAAACATTAATATCGAAGTCCATCGATTGTTGTTTACAAAAAATCGATGTGTGGTCGATATATTTAAAGAACATCGACGTTTTCAAAAATGTTTTCAAGTTCATATCAGTCAATCAACAATGATTGTATGAATTAAAATATTCTTTTATAGTAATATTATAAACTAATAAGTAAAGTGATCTTGACCCTAACTTTTAAATTATAATTATTAGGGGAGATGTTCGTGATAAATTTTAGTGTCCGGCGTTTTGTTCGTGAATAACGGAAGCTTTTTATCTTGCATATAAAAAATAACATTTGCACAATAAAGCATGTTGTCGATTTGTTGCTGTTTTTTTCGCATCCATTATTTCGTATTTACTCCCCGAAAATTTTTAGTGGGCTAATGCTGCCGAAACAAAACATGAAAAATACTATATGTTTGGGCAAACATCGATAGTTCGGCGATAGCAAGCAAATAAAATCGAGCAACATCGAAACCTCGTCGTGCATCGACGTTTCTTACATCCCTAATACCAAACGTAAACATAACAATTTCAACAAGAAATGTTTAAATTCATTTCTGGTGTTTCTGTTGCTGGCCATCCACTAGAAACATTTCAAGCAGATTATCTCCACGATAATCCAAAACTCCTGTACATTTTAGTGTCAAGGTTCAACGCAATTAATGTAATCTCTGAACAAGCTCTGGCAGCAGCTGCTCAACTCTGTACTGCAAACATACTCCACACAGAGATACAATTCCGATACAGTTCTCCAACTGAGATCGCACCTGGTTGACCCACAAGGTCGGCTCCCAGCGACGCCTGGTTCTTATATGCCGGATGCCATAGACTCAATATTGAGGTAAAATTTATTCTATTGAAACCGTACGACGCTATGCAGATTATATGTATTTTTCATTTTATTAATTCAATTAATCAGTTAAATTAGTTTTTCAAAAAATATTTTGAAAAACATGTTGGTGTACCCAACTATTCAAGAGTTGAGCCCGAGTCTAGCATTCCGTTCATCTTGTTGCAAAGGACGCAATTCTTGCGTAATGAAAAGTTTTTTGACTGAAGCCTGAGCCTGAAGCAAGGGCGTTGAGTCCCGTTGTAGCTTCCAATTGACTGCCTCCGGCTACAAGTAGATAAATAGTCATCTTGAGCTTTCCAAGAATTAATTCACTTTTTAGAGTCCCATTTACGGCTCACCTCCGCTTTCTGAGACATGAATTCCCCCTCGTCCTAAGGGCTTGGGCTGTAAGATGTTGGCAGGGTCTGGTAACAGAGGCATGGGTATTAATGATATGAGCCCAAATCCACCCCGAATAAAATACGAGAAGCAATTTATATTTATCATTAAAAATGAATTGTACATATATGCACCCGTAAAAAAAAGCATCACTTGGCTATGCTCCAGTGTGAAACTCCCGATCTATCATACAAACTCCTTATTGGTAAAATAATACTGCGATGGGTACGTTATCCAACATACTTTTATTAAACTGGATATACGATTATGGGATTTTTTACCTATGTGGAAATGAATAAATCAATTTATAGAAGTGAGGATTGGAATATGCTACATTAGTATTAAATATGAAAAGATAAGAAATGGACATTACACCCATCAAAGATAGTAAATATGCGCCCGAATTCGACTGGAGATCCCCATTATTACCAGGGTAACGGTAACCGAAACGAAATAGCTGTCCTCTAGCATAACCAAAAATAGCCATAAATAAAAACCACAGGAAGAAACACACAAAATAATTTCAAAAAAATAATATTTTCTATTAAAAACTTTATAGAGATTAAAAAATGTGAATCATGTACATATAATACTTGGCATCCAATGCAACTCAAACCATCCATTCATTTACGACTTCAAACTTTATCTATTCATAAAAACTTGGGTAAATTATTATTTTTTATTGTATGTAATTACTTAATAAAATTGATAAAGAAAATATGAGTTTTTAAAAGCACAGCATTTAAAATTTCGAAACCATTGTAGTTCTTTATTAATTCTCAAAGTACATAAAGTCCTAAAAAAATAATGAAAAGTAGACATTACCTACTGAATTTTAAATTTAAAAAATATATCTCACAATAAGGAATGTAGCTCCAAGTAGGACAGCCTTAATCCGTGGATCCAATTTTAAGGGAAAAGTAATGCCAAAGAAGTCCGCATCAGTAAACAACTCACGGGCCAAGCCAGACCATTGCTTTGATATTTTTCCCACTTTCTTGTCCGAGCGTGAAATGATCTGTAGGTGTTAACAAGAGAACGCTACAGTCGAGCAAGCCCGACAGTAAAATAGCCTGTACTCTCCACAAAAAAGAAAAATTAAAAAAAATATATATATTAAAAAAAATTTAATTATTAAATAAATTTAATTAATTTATTAAGTTAATTAAGGAAATTTATTTAATACATGCATAGAAGACATGTTTATGTACAGTTTTACATTTACATAACGTGTCTATGTGTATTTATATGCGTGGATGTATGTAGCACAAAGTTGAACCAAAGCAGCAACAACAACAACAGCTGCGGGCAGCGCTGTCAGCAGAGCTGCAGGCAGCGCATGAGCAGCGATTTTATTTATGGCTATAACTTTCTTCAGAATTGACCTATCATGATGAAACTTGACACGCGGACACTTTAGTACTAGCTAGATGTACCTACCAAAATTAATTTCAAAATTCCAATTACGGAAGTTATAAGAAAAAACACGAATTGCGGGGGAGAGGGGGGTATCAGAAAAAATAAACAAACTCGATCTGGCTAGGGCTTATAGGAACCTTGATACCAATTTTGGTTATCCTAGCTCTTGTACATACTGAGAGCCTTGCGCTCATACAGACAGACGGACAGACAGACGGACATGGCTATATCGACTCGTCTTCTCATCCTGATCAAGAATATATATACTTTGTGGGGTCTGCCACGCCTCCTTCTGTGTGTTACATACATGCGCACAAATCTAGTATAGCCTTTCACCCTTTGGGTACAGGCTATAAAAATAAACTTGACCTGCCTAGGACTTAGGGGAACCTATATCATCGATACCAAGTTTGGTTATTCTAGCTCTTGTACTTCCTGAGATCCTTGCGCTCATACAGACAGACGGACAGACAGACGACTCGTCTTGTCATCCTGATCAATAATATATATACTTTGTGGGGTCTGCCACGCCTCCTTCTGTGTGTTACATACATGCGCACAAAACTAGTATAGCCTTTCACCCTTTGGGTACAGGCTATAAAAATATCAATTCATAAATGGGTCCTTGAAAGCTGACATCTCTTTAACTTACATTAAAATCCTCAGATCCGCAAATGAGACAAAATGGCCCCTTGATACGCAACACGGTATCTCCAAGATGATTATTGACCTTAAATGTACGTGAGCGCACTGACCATTCCTGCACGATTGAACCGATTTTGGTTCCAGGCGGTGCACTCACCTCCAAGGTTTGAAGACAACAGGGGCAGCACCAATTCTGACAGGCCAGGGGGCGGGACAAGTGAATGACCTCTTTCTCATAGCTGTTAACAATTTTCATTTCAAATGCACGTGAAGAGCCACAGAACCTGCGCATGCAGGCGTCGCTCTCCTCCAATGCCGTATACACGCTTTGGCCAATGTCATTCTTAATTGTGTATTTGTTGTTAGTCTCAAATCCGGTAATTACCTCGAACATCTCCACATGCTGCTTAATAAAAAGCTGCTTGAGAGGTGCCAAATATTCCAAGCCGGGCGGGCAATTGGGAACATCGTCTGGCCTGGGCATCATGCCACCTGGTACCATTCCACTGCTCGCGCCTATTACCATTCCAGGCTGAGCCGTAACCACAGACTGCGATCCTGGTGGATAGGATGCACCGTATTCTGGAATTTGTGCCATAACAGAAATTACTTTTATTTCTCCTCAGAAATGTAAGTGAAAACAATTGTGAATTCGAGTGCTCGACGTTTTGCTCGCATAGAATATAAATGTTTCTATATGGCTGCTGTTCGTGCGAACATATTTGACAGTTGGTGGCCATATTGCCCGAGAATCATTTGAAAAAACTATTTGGAAAACATTTTTTTTCCGATCAAAGATGCTGTGGTGGTAGTCCGTGAATGCGTTTTCTTTCCCGTTTTTTGCAGCAGATCATGTATATACCATATATGTATGTGCACTCGTGCAAAGATTTAAAGTTACGCGTATTTTTATGTGTGTAAGAAAACGACTTTATTCCACGAAGCTTAGAATCAATCTTTAAGATACATAAAAATATTAAAATGAATAAAACTAGAAACGCTTTTTGAGGAGCGCCCAAAAATCACTTCTAGCATTTACTAGACAATCAAAGCAAAGGGGCACTATAATCATTGGTGTTACCGTGGGGCGATGGGGATGAATATCCAAAATCCCAAAAACGAGGAAATAATGGCGACACTTCAGTTTTTAGTGGTACGTGATCTTGTACGTGTACTTATATTCATTGGCAATCATGTACTGACTTCACCTAATTACATTCGTATAGACCTAACTAACGTGCGTGGGAGAGAGGATGCTGACGCCAGCAGCGCTCTGCTAGCAGATGTTGCTAGCAGATGTTTCTAGCAGATGTTGTTAGCCTACGACGAGTATTGCTAGCAGAGCGGTGCCACATCAACAATTGGCATTATTATTATTTTCAAAGAACATAAAGTCCTAAAAAAGATAATCAAAGGTAGACATTAACTTTTGAATTTGAAATTTTATAAATATATCTCACAATAAGGAATGTAGCTCCAAGTAGCACAGCCTTAATCCGTGCATCCAAGTCCAAGGGAAAAGTAATGCCAAAGAAGTCCGCATCAGTAAACAACTCACGGGCCAAGCCAGACCATTGCTTTGATATTTTTCCCACTTTATTGCCTGCGAGTGAAACGATCTGTGGGTACAAAAAATATCAATTCATAAAAGGTCCTTGAAAGCTGGCGTCTATTTAACTCACGTCAAAGTCAACATTTCCGCAAATGGACATGGTACAAAATGGTCCCTCAATACGGAGCACGGTATCTCCAAGATGATCCTTGACTTTAAATGAATGCGAGCACAGGGTCCACTCCTGCTCGATTGAACCGATTTTGGTTCCAGGCGGTGCGGTCACCTCCACGCTTTCAAGGCAACAAGGGAAGCAACTCTTACAGGCCAATGCTCGAGACAAGTGAATGACCTCTCGCTGAAAATTGTCAACAATTTTGATATCAAATGGACGTGCAAGGCCCCAACACATGCGTGTGCAGCACGCGGTGTCCTCAAATGCCATATACACGTCTTGGCCAAGGACATTCTTAATTGCGTATTTGTTGTTAGTCTCAGATCCTGTAAATGCCTCCAACAGTTCCACATTCTGCTTAATCAACAGTTGGTTGACAGACGACAAATATTCCAAGCCGGGCGGGCAATTGGGAACATCGGCTGGTCTGGGCATCATGCCACCTGGGACCACTCCACTGCTCACGCACATGACTATTCCAGGCTGAGCCGCAAGCACAGGCTGCGATCCTGGAATTCGTAACATAATGGTAATATTTATTTGTGCTCAGAAATGTAAGCCGAATCAATTAAAATTAGTGATCGAGTCGACTCAATTACGTGCCAATGGAAGTGAAATTGAAACTGAGTGCACCAGGAACATACCGTAAGGCGCTTTAGAGGCTAACTCAGCATTTTCTTAATATAAACATATGAGGGCTTTTGCTGATGCTGCCATTCGATGCCTCTGAAAATGGAGTTCTCAAGGCATACCGCACTCTAAGCTTCAATTTCCCCTCTATGCGCTGAACCCGAAGACTGAAAGGGCGAAGCAGATCCCATATTATATTTAAATTTTAAACACTTGATTACAAACGCATTATAGTGTCATAAAGAGTAATATCTCTGCAATAGGATAAATATGTGCAATAATCACTTTTAATAAAATCTCCATTTCTATAACCATATGATCGCCAATATTCTATAGTTTTATCTAAATCGACATACTATATTAAATAGCTGCCATCTGGAATACAAATTTATTTAGTTTTAAGACTGCTCGGGAGGGGACATGTGATGGGTATACAAGAGTTTGGCGGGCCTTACAAAAACCCACTACTTGTCCAAATCTTGCAACTATTATTTGTTTTTTTTTTCTCAACAATTCTAACAATTGAAAACCACTCACCATGTCCGGCTCCAGGCTGCAAACCAATCACCAGCTGTGGAGATCCTGGCGAATAGGGCGTTCCGAACGCTGAAAATTGCGACATTGGAATGCTCACTCACTACTATTTATTATAACCCAGAATTGAGTGACACAAATGTAGAACTGAAGAATGCAGCTTCTACGGTTGGCGATTCAAAGCAGACTGTGCGTCCATCCAAGTACAAGAGCGTGCTTCACTGACGGAGATGTTCTTAACCCTCCGAGTATTGATCTTCGATATTGTGCAAAAAATCACCCATCCCCTTATATCATGACGAAGTTAGATTTTTATTATATTATGTGTTTCTTTAAAGATTTAATGATATAAAGACAGCTCAATAGCCATTTAGTGCAGTGAAATAAATAAATAATAATTACTGCCATAATCAAAATAAATTAAAGAAATAATTTATTAAGATAAAGCAAAAGCACTTGGTCCTATTCTACATTACTCTGCACCGCCAACACGCTCTTTTTCGTTGCCTGTCATAGAACAATCATTTTATTAGTCATTAAATTTTTGATCCCACAATCGATTTACACAGAAAAGACCTTAGAGTGGTATGCGGAATTGCTGATTTTGAAATAAAATAAAAAAAATTCTTTGACTCCTTTGAGTTCTATAAAAATATTGCTCTCTTAAAAACGCCATCAGTGGGTTAATTTGGGGCTTCTACTGTAATGTAAACACAGTTCAGACCTTTTGCTGATGCTGTCATTTGTCGGCATTATATCAGAATTCAACTGCGCTTTAAGGACCAGCAAGTGCTTTACTTCTGTAGAAGTCAGCACTATATTTTGATATACATACATACATACATACTCGTAAAGTATACAAATCGTTCATTTTGAAGCTCTAAGGGATAACTTTATTCTTAAGAATGTGTTGGACCAATATAAATGAAATAAACGAAAAATCTAAGCGACAGTCTTTTAAAAATAAATTGAAAACTTGCATAGGTTTTACATGTATCTATCCCTGAGCTAAAATAGAAATGTGAAGTCAATAAACAAATTCAAATTTATCAGAGCTCTCGCATAAATTCGCACTTTAATCTTTTATACTTACAACAACGTGGATTGTAACCCTTCTGCAGAGCGTTTTATAATAAATGTGTATATTGGATATACATATTGTAATAGTGTAGTTGTCCAATTAATTTAGTTTTTATTAAAGGTATTTCTTATCATAAAGAATATGAAAGATAATAAAAAAAATACCATATAACACATCGCGATACTGCAAACGCAACAATAAGAAGTGTTCATTAGCATCAGAGTGTGTGCTCGTTGTCGAGCCGCCTGTGACCACGATTCTGGAAAAAAAAGAAATGTATATAATATTAGTATATACCTAATGGTTAAAATTGAAATACTTGTCATTATATATTCATAATTATATATATTGAGGATTGATTTCATTAAATTGTGAAGAGAAACCGGTTCCCCTTTTGCCTCCTAAAGTATATTACTGGATTATTATATTTCATGGGTTTTTTTTAATAAAGCCTTGTAGTGTTAAATCATATATGGTTCTAAAAATGCATTCAGAAGCTCTGAATAATGTTGAACAATATGTTTTAACCCAACATAGCCCCTAGTTCACAAAATGTTGTGCAGGTAATGTAATGTTATTTCTGACATTCTTTTTACAGTCTTCCACTCAGGAATCAACTTACTTCTCGATTCGGTCTCCATTATGCTGGACTCATCAATTTGAATTGCGTTCGGCTGCTGCGATTCATCAGGATCGGATGTTCGGATAGCCATGTAGGGTGTTGATAAGTTCTCATTGGAACTGAAGCTGATGCTGGAAGATCGGGACAGTGGTGCTCTTCTGATTTCAAACACTTTATGTGAGTTTTCGTAGTCAACTGATGGGTCTGAATAGAATAAATAACCGAATCAACTTCAATTCGCAACAACATATGTCTATGGCCTCACCATAAAGTTGTAATATTGACGCCGATGGAGAATTTTCACCAGCATGCATGTAATGGACGCTATCTGCGTATTGATCTGAAAGGTATTTACCATAAATCTATTTTTTAACAAATCTACCTGTGATGTTTATTGTCACATGATTTCTGTAAACCTAATTATGGACTTACCACACAACGAACTTAACGACATTACTGCGTGATCCGCCGATGTCTTATTGGACACAATGTAGCGCTTATTCGACGAACTGTTGTAGCTTGGAAGCTTAAGGTGCGACTGGTCGAATGGGCGAAACGTATTGTGTGTGTGCCCGAAATACAAAAATGATCAAATGACGTCACTAGTAGCATATCCAAATTCAATAGAGACAAATATACCACGAGTATAGTCGTCTTGGAGAGCTATGTCCAAGTGTTAGGAATAAGTACGTGCTACATGGAACTGTTCCTATAGAGACACATTTTATTTTTGCCTACACTCTTTGCTACACTGAGAAAAACTTCAGCACTTTCTACTTAAATCAGTTACAAACGATGTCAATTTTTAATTAACTGGTAGATAGCCTTAGTGTTATATTTTATGTTTTCATTATTGATATTATCTAACTTTAATTAAACCAGGCGGATTTTGTTTTCAATTTTGATTATTCTCTTTTTTTAATGTATTCCCAGTTGTTTTTTGTGTTGGAAATCTTTTCATGAACCCTTGTGCTGTGCCTGCGTGTTGTTGAGGTCGATCTATTACTCGTTTAATATTTAAAATATGAGTGGTTACTCAAAAATGATTCTTATATTCAAAAATCTGATTATACCACATATGTATTTGCATCACTAATAATTGGACGTGGTATATAATATAAAATAATAGATGTGTCTTTAGTCGTAATTTTGGACTTTTATGCGACCCTAAAAAGGACTCGGGTTATTTACATCACCATTTTGTTACAGTTTGTTATCTGATATTGAATCAGGTACTCGACATTTCCCAAAGCGTGTGTCTTTCGTTTTAAGCTAGATTGTATAGGCAAACAAAAATATAAATTTGAAAGTTATAAGCGCTTTATTTCACAATAAATACATACGTTCATGTATACATATTATATTTTAAATATGTTAAGACACTGCGTATAGTTGAAGTGGTTATGGTACTGAGTACATATTTAGTTTTGCATTAGCTGTCGCAAAAAATACAAATTCATGGAGCATTCATTGTCGTTGCTATGAGATTTCTTTTCGCATTTTACATAAATCTATAATGTAATAAGTTAAAACATAACTAAATTAAAATATCAAAATCTTATATATAGAGTTGCACAAAAAGCATAAATCCCGCCACGAGAGAGAGACCTGAGTTGATAACATAACACCAAAATATAATAAAAACGTTTTCATTTCTGGGCTGAGTTCAAGCAGGCAAATTTTAGAGACTTTGGTTCATATATTTGAGGTTGTCTTTTAAAATTGAAATATTTTGTGTAAAAATAAAAAGCATATGTTTCATTCAATAGCTCCAAACATATTTAACAAAGTTATTCGCCTGTGTGAACCGTTCTTAATGCAGTGGCTGGCTTGCAGCGTAAGTTTTGGAAAAGCTGAAATATTTTGATTTACCAAGTCGGGCAAATGTAAAACCTAGAAATTTCGTAGCTTTGGCCATCGGAGACTAGTACACGATAATTCACAGTGATGTTATATTTTCATTTTTATAAGTTTTCTTGCAAATGTGCGGTTCCGACGAAGAGAAGAAATTGCCAATTTAATCCAAGAATCAGCCACACAAGGGTTACAACATGCCCGGGCCATCGGTCTCCCGATTTCCAGATTTTTCAAAGAACATGGCGTCCTAAAAATGTGAAAATTCAGCATTAGTTAGAAATTCTGTTTTACATTCATTAGAGGAAAATGCAAAGTGGTTAGCAAAATAAGACTAAGCTTTGGTCTGGCTGGTAGAAGCGTTAAAGCGTTACCTCAGCACCAAAGTTTGCGACGCAGGCGTCTCAAAAGCTTAAAACGATGAAAATTAACACTATACAGCTTCAAATAAGAGATTTTTAAATTTTTTCTCCTCTTAAGAACAGTTTAAGGCAACACTTACAATTAAGAAAGTGGCGCCTAACAGCACCGCCTTCATGCGCACATCCAGATCAAGGGGAAAAGTGATGCCAAAGAAGTCCGCATCGGTGAATATTTCACGCGCCAAACCGGACCATTGCTTTGAGATTTTGCCCACCTTTTCGCCAGTGAGGGAAACCACCTGCAAACAAATATATGAGATGAGCAAATTGTTTCTCTATTATATACCTGACAGCGACTTACATTGAACTCCACTTCACCGCAGAGCGAGAAGGTGCAGAAGGGACCTTCAATGCGCAGCACCGTATCACCAATGTGATTGTTAATTCGGAATGAGGGGGAGCATATGGACCACTCCTGTTCGATGGTGCCAATGACATTGCCAGGCGGTGCTGATACCTCCATGGACTGCAGACAACAGGGGAAGCAGCAGGCCGAACAGGCCAATGGACGATGCATGTGTATGACTTCTTGTTGATAATTGTCGAAAATTTTCATATCGAATGGACGAGCGGGACCGCACATGTTTCGGGTGCAGCAATCGTTGTCTTCCACGGCATGGTAAACCTTCTGGCCAAGAGCGTTTTTAATGGAGAATTTGTTGTTTGTCTCAAAACCGGTGAATGCCTCCAGCAGCTCAACCTTTTGCTTAACCAAAAGCTGGTCTATAGTCGTAAGGTATTCCAATCCGCGCGGACAATTCGGAATACCGGCTGGTATACTCATCCAATCGCCTATAAAATAGATCAAGTAAATCAACAATTAACACATGAAATCAGCGTCGGACAATGCAAGGAACGCGTTCATCAACATAATTGCCTAAGTAACGAGCTGCGACAAAAGCCTCGACGATTAGCTTGTTTGCCAGTGTGTCAATTGGTCAATTGGTCAATGTCACACCAGTGCCGCAATTGAGGAACGTCGTGGCAGTGCAAACTCAATTGAAGGCTGTGCCCAGGGCATAGACCACTTAGCGCGCTTTGTTAGGCATTCCCATATCTAATCGCAAAATAACCTCACAAATGACAAAGTTTATGGAACATGTTGTACCTTCATATGCTCGTATAGAGAAAACTTTATATTACTAGATAAATCTGTAATTTCATCATGCGAGGCAAACAAGTGAGATAGGCTATCTTTGATACTTAATGATCGCGCAGATCTTGAGCTTGTAAACATGATAACATCATGTCACGTAATTATACGAAATTATATAGAGTAAAGCCGTGGTCAGACAGGCAAATCAATTGCACACAAACTTTCCTACATCTTTGGAACGCACAGTTCTTGTTATTCTTATAAATCTGAACTGCAAATAATTATGCTGCCGACCGGTTTTCGAAAATACTTTTGATATACTATATAATTTCCCAATTTCTTCTTCACTTATTCCCCCTATAATCTCACGTCTCTATTAGAAGTAAGAATCGAGAGTAGGCCATGGCGATTTAGAAGAAGATGGGATTTCACGTCTTCTGTAACTTCGTAAAACTTGAAACTTGTCTCAATTTTGAATCCTATATACAGAAGACTGTAGTACCACAAAGGTCGAAAGCGTATTGATCTTGCATCGACGAAAGAATTGCATTCTATTTGAAGATTTTCTAGCAAAAGCAAGGGATCTCACAATAACTTAACCACCCCTCCCTCTCTCTCTCACTCTGCTTCTCTTGTCAGTCAAGCATATTTGATATGAGAATAAAAACCTTAGAATAAAAGACGAAATCGGAAACACATACATATGCTGACCACGGCATGTCATAACCTATCGAAACTCTGTCTTCTGTAATGCTAGCCTTGACCACTCACCGTCTATCCTCATCGCTGAGGAAGAACTCGTAGCCCTTGCGCTTTGCCGACTTGTTCAAACGCAAGGAGCGTCGCAACTTCTTTGGCAAGGGCTTGTTGGCCTCGCGACAGACAAGTTGCCTGAGCGTTTGGGAGCGTGTGCAGAAATAGTTGTATTTACTATACACGGTGTGCCAGATGAGGCGCAACACCTGTACGCCCTTGTTTTCTGCGTCACGTTGCTCGCCCCCACTCAGATCGACAGTGGATATGTAATTTGAAACGCACGGAGCGGGTGCAGCATGCACTGCAACGACGGCTGGCGTTGGCATCACGAGCAGGGGCACGGACTCGGGGCTCAATTTTGATTTGTATTAATTCTAGACGACTGACGCTGATGCGCACGTTTTGTGAACTGAACTACGTTCGATGCTGCGACGAGAGCAACTGAAGCGTTGGTACAATGCGAGGCCCATCAAGTTGACAATCTGCCACATAGTCGTAGTCTCGCATTTTACCCGTAAACGGCTCTTTCTGTATTATTTTATTGGTCCAATTAAAGCAGCAGCTTGATAAGGGCCAATGAGGCTGAGAAACTGGGGCTGTTTTGTGGGCTTTCGGCACTTCGACGTTTGGTGTGTAAACAAGAACTAAAATAACAACAAACAAGCTCTGATAATCGTAAATTTTAAAAGATAAGCCAGCCAGAAAAGACGTAAATCTTTCGAAGTCACACAAACCAATGTTTTCTTCATGCAAATATGCGGGGTGTTAATTCAGGGCCGTTTCAAGACACAATGGAAAGGGAACCTAATCGCAGATTTGTAGTATGTACTAAAGTCTTGTGTAAAAGGTCTGAAATGTCCCTGCCTTTAATTGTTACCCTTTCATTATCATGCCAAGCAATTTACCGCCTTAGAATAATGGCGCCTGAAAAGAGTGGCACATCGGCATGCGGCTTCATTTGGGGTCAGCGTCTCTGCTATGAACTGTGCTGTCTGCCCCTGCAAAATGGGCTTCAGAGCACAAGCAATTGATTGACAAACGTGTGCGATCGCTGAGATCGGCGCTCCACATTGACATTATCACAATGCAGTGCATTGACACTGGGCTACCGCCTTTTCAAAAAGACAGACGGTAAACAGAGACAACGACTTGAAGTTCGATAAGACAATCAACGTAATACTCGTAACTTACCGCCTGGTCCTCCCTGCATTGGTGGCATGGGTTGTGCTGGCGGCATGCCTGGCTGTGTGATGATAGGCTGTTGTGGTCCGGCTGGTCCTGGTGGATAGACTCCTGCGTATGGATGCTGAGGTCCTCCAAATTGTTGTGGGGGTTGGGGTCCGCCATAATATTGTGCTGGCGATGGTTGGCCCCCATATGGCGGCTGGCCACCTCCATAGGGTGGCGCCTCACCGTAGGGCGGCATTTGGGGAACAGGTGCGTAACCGGCTGGTGCTTGTCCTGGCACAAAACCCTACAGATACGGATTCGAGAGGAACGTAAGTGTTGTAGCTTCAAAGCGTCGAACGCAACTGTTAACCATTGTGGGGGCGTACTTGACTGACGTGTTGGCATGATTCACATATATGTACTACTTGTATAAATTGAGTAATATCGAGTAAATATCGGGCGTGTATAATTGCACTAATCAACTGAAGCACTGGCTATTATCAATGTGTTATATACATGTGTATGTAGGCACGACATGCTTCGGAAACTTATTTGATCTCTTTTGGATATTTTCATTGAATTAATAGTCTGGCCGTCATGGGCAATACAATAACTGCAAATCTCCCTTATCTGAACAATAAGATAGAAGCCAAATTTATTGCTGAACGCATTTTGACGGATAGGTTTCTGAAGCCCCATGTTTACGTAATTTTTTAAAGAAAAAATATATTTTATGAAAGTGGGTCGCCATTACTTGCAATCCTCGTGATTGCCAAGAGCCGTTAAAAATTTTAAATATAGTCTTGCAAAATTGAATGCCTTTCAAGCTCTTGATTTTGGACATTAAAGGACTGGTTTTATTTAATTTGTCAATAAAAGCAGAGCTAATATTTCTTGGGTTAAATCAACCAATCATTGTCCTGGCTGAAGAGCAGACATTTTCAAATTTCCACTTTGTAATTCCAGCATTTTTAGATAATACATCACATTTTTGAGAAGGCACAGCGTTGTTGTAATTCAATTCTATCGGTTAGACAAATATTTTGTCTATTTGTGCTAAAGAAAAGTCCTTTTGTGAAAGCTAGTACTAGGCTTTAGAAACTTTTCAGCCCTGCCACAAGTGGTATTTAAAAACTCGGAACTCGTTTTATCAGTGAAATAAATGGCAAATTGCGTCTGTTTTATATTCATTAAAACATATGTATGTATGTACATACATATGTACATTATCTATATGTATATTATCTATATGTAAACAATGGGCGTGTGCACCTAATCAGTTGTAATTAAAACAACAACAACAAAACAAAAGCCACATTGCATGGCTATCATTCATTTGCAAAATACCGAAACCTGCTTCAACAAACACATTAAGTTATTAATATATATATACGTACATACACACATCTGTATATAAATAGACATTCAAAGAAGCGCCAATGTAATGACGTCATATTCATTTTTGGTGCAAAAGCCCTCTCTTCTGGCCTATTCACATTGTTTTTGTTGTTCTTGTTGTATACTCACAAAATTTTGTGGCGGCGGTCCTGGTTGATGGTGAGGCGGGCCTGGTGGATAGGGAGCATTGGATATTGGACCCTCGGCTGGTGGAGCATTTGGTGGATAGTAACCGGCTCCAAATCCTGGTGGCACGTAGCCGCCTTGATTAATGTTGTTCATGGGCTGCGACATCGTTGTTGTAGCTGCTGTTGAGGAAGCACTAGGAACGGGGACGGAGGCAAGCGAACGCCTAAAACGTAGGCGCTGCAAATGGTTCGTTCTAGTTTATTTTCACTTCTTCAAACAAATCCGTCGAATTTCACAAGGCAACTACGATTAGTGATGCGAAAAGACAACGAAGCAGCAATGTTGTGCGATGATTTTCTGAAATCGATGTATCATCGACACAATGGTTTACTTCTTTATCTTCTTTAATTAATTCGAAACTAATCATTTTCTATTAACTTCAAATGTCTAAGAAAATTAATTTATTAAGAATAACGTAGCAATGAAAAAAATACATTATTGAATACTTACTCATATATAAAGTTATCAATTCATCAATTTATCTTTCTCTGTTTTATTCGTATATAAACATTGATGCATGGATGTTTTGAAAATTACATCAGTATTTGAGTTCTCTTCTTCTTCTTAACAGCTGTGTAGTTAGAGATGTGCTGTGTCAGTGATTGTTTCGCAAGTATATGGTGTTACTGCACATTTTAATTAAGACGTGATATAAGTATAATATTTAAGTCACTACTTCGTATTAAAATATTTGTACAATATTTATGGAATTGGCACGAAATCGTTCATCTCCATATGTTATTTCGCTGCTGCCATACCTCACGAAAACAGTTCAGTTTCAGAAGTTTTCCGACAGGTGGCGCCTTTGGAAAGATTTTGGTTTTGGCTAGCGTGTCTAGATGGCGCTACAAATTTTTGAATAATATTAAAATTTGTAACTAAACGTATTTTTGAACAAAATCTTATGTATTCGAAATTGTGTCGTTATTATGGCATTAATTTAATGTGCGTGCAATTTTTTCCACACAGCTTATCTACCATTTCAGTGTATTTCGCCGCCATTTTTAGTTGTTGTTGAGCAAATGCAAAAACATAAGGCAGGCCAACCCCACACACCCACCCCTCACGCACACACGCACACACACACACAACTGTGCCCGTACAGTTCACATTTTTTCTAATGCGCAAAATGCTGCCCTGGCTTTGTGGGTGGGTCTTTTGCCGGGGAGGGGTGGGTGTGTGAGAGAGCAAACAATCGTATGCGGTAGGGTGGGTGTCAGGCAATACGTATAAAAAATGGCGGTTTCCGGGGAAAAATAGAAAAAAATGTGGCAGGGTGGGTGTCTGTGGTGCAGCCGTAAGTGTGAGTGTGAGTGAGAGAGAGCGAGGGACCAGCATAAAAATATGGCAAAAAAGTGTAGAAAAAATAGCGCCGGCAAAATCCACCCTGTGGCATTTTTGTGTGGACAACGAACAGACGTCAACGTCACACTCACACACACACACACACATACACGAGCACAGTATAGTGGCAACGTAATTACCAATACGAATGCAAAACGCTGTGCAGGAATCATGAGCATCATCATAATCTTCATCAGCAGTAACATCATCATCGGAGGGATTGCCGTTTTTGCTTTAGATTTCCGTTCCAGGGCAGAAACGAACCCTCGTCGTTAGGTCAGAGCAGATGAAGTAGCAATGTGATGATGGCAATGGCAACAAGGAGCAAAAAAAAGGAATAACAAAAAACAACTTACAATTGCACACCCACACACACATAAAGACACACAAATGAGCGCTTAATGCGCCATATAACGCGTCTCTCTAGCCTCCCTGCCCCACTCCATACAAGTATATACGAGTCCTTAGTGCATTCAATTAGTTTCCATTGCTCTCGCATGGAAACAAGCAAACTGCAAATTTTTGCGGTCGGCATCCAACACAACAGCCCGCCCGCCACCTTCTAGCCGTCTGTCTCGTCGTTATCAACTAAACCAAACCCTCAACCCATTAGCCCACCAGGCCACCCACCTACTGGTGACCTCGACCCCGTCGCCTTGCCGTGGTCGTCGTCATCGCCATCGCCATCGTCATCATGGCCGCCAACTCTTTCGCATTGCTCACGCCTCAGTGCGGCAAAACTCGAAAAATCAGGCAGGCGGCAAATATAATGCAAGGATGTCGCTACCGTTACCGCCGATTGCGCGCCGATTTTTGGCATGCGGGCGGAATTCGTGGCTCAAGTACCTACCTTCCTGCCGGTTGTCGCGTTTGGGTTCCATCGCCTTCATTAGCCGCACGCTTTGCGCCTTTAAACATTTAAGAACTACAAATTTTGTGTGGCAGTTTTTTGTTGTTGGTTCGCTTATCCCGACTGCCATCTAATTTATGTGTTTGTCCTTCTTTGAAAGCAAAAGTTTCCGACATGCCAGTCGAGACATGGCCATAAATCAAGCTTCAAAGCCCGGCCTTCTGCACTTCTAATGCTGCAACTGATCGATCGATTGATCGATCGATTGTTCCCTTTTCTGTCTTTTGCATTTTTATTGTAAGGCAGCCGTTGATGTGCCGTCAAATTGAACAGAAACATCTGCTCGTCCTCTTGGACACCAAATGAATGGGTCTGGACTTTGGAAATTGGCGCGTGTCGCCTAACACGCATAATGAGAAGTTGATTATGCAACAGATGATGGATAGTTCCAAGCCATATAGCATGCAAAAGATGCTGGAAATAGTAAACTGGAAATAATCTACTCCTTACTTAATGCAGTTAGAGGTAATTCCTCTTTTCAAGAATGCTCAAAGTTTAAGACTCTCATAAAACTTACAATTTCTTTCAAGATATCATGTAGGCAGGATTGGTAGAACATTTCAATAAGTGCGATAGAAGGAAAGGTGAAAGGAAAGTTTACATTTTCAGTTGATTCTCTCTTTGACAGCATTAGAAAGAAATTTATTATAATCTTGAATTTGTTTTGGGTCTACTTTAGTTTTATATTCCTCCAAACACACCGACCTCACTGCTAGGTTGGCCTCTAAATTCCTACGACGATTCAGAAGTGGTCTTGCTTTTGCTATAACTGTTTGTCAACTAAATAAAAATATCAAATAAAGAAATATTCGATCCCAAATAGATGGTCCGATGTCCATCTGCTCATCTATCTCAGCTTGAACTGCTATCCAATGCCACAAAAATTTAATAACGCAACAAATATATATTTTGTTGATAATATAATAACAAGAAATATTAAAATTTGTTTTTATGACAATTATTAAAGAATTTCCTGACTTTTCTATCACTAAAATAATTGAAATTGAAGGGAGAGTATTTCGGTTAGTCAATTGAATTAAAATTAAAATGTTATAAATTAAAATTTATAACAGAAACGTAGTTAGTTTCTAGGAACCATCCATCGGAATGAATGGCTCCCCAATTGATGATTAATTTTAAAGACAAACAATAATGAAATCAAAAATAGATGTAATTTTTTAAAGGAAGAAGTTTTAACAAGCATTTCAAAAATTACAAAGTGAAAAAGTAATGAACAGAATTGGAGTTGAAATAAACATAATATTCAATATCTAAGAAAATAAAGCACTTATATTGTTTTATAAAATAAGGAAGAATCTTCCCAGCCATGCAAGTGGACACAACACATTGCGTAGAGCCAGTGGCGTTGCATGCGTGGGAAACGGACAGAGCCAGGCAAACAGAGCGGCAGAGAGGCAGAAGGACAACAACAACAACAAAGGCATTAACAATCTGCATGCATAAATGTGTCAATGTGAAGGACGGCAATGGGAAGTGCATTGGCATTGGGACTGGGACTGAGACTGGGACTGGGTTGGGGTCGTAGTCGTAGTCGGAACCGGACCGGCTGCGTTCAGAGTCATGTGTGGCGTCCAGAACCGCGTCATCTGCATTGTCATGCCAATGGACTGTGTGCGTGTGTGTGTGTGTGTGTGTGTGTGCAGTTCCCCTGGGTTCCCAATCACAACAGGTTCGGTCACGAAAAGAATGACAGGAAGTGCAGAGAGGGGCGGACACACACACACACACATAGAGAGAGACTGCAATAAAACATTCAGACAATGAGGACGGGAAGGACAACACACCTGTTATTACAAGGCACTTTGCGTTGATGTTGGTCAGGGTTTTCGGTTTACGGCTTTGGTTTGGTTTTGGTTTGGGTTTGTTGACCCTCTTCGTAGTGGTGCGTGTGTCCGGCTCGAAATGCAAAACGGCAAAAGGGTGAAAGTGTTCTCACCTAATTACTTAATTACGCCAGCAGTTCGTCGTCGCCGAAGTCTCGACAATAACAAAAAAAAAACAAAAAAGGTCAGACCAGAAAAACTGGGTCAGCAGTTAACGGCAATGGGTTGCAAATCTTAATGAGTTTTTCTCACTTTGCATTTGGCCTTCGTTCTGCCTTTTCTAATTAAACGCACAATGACCCGTCCCGACCCGAGTCCTTTGCTCGACCCTTGGCTGCCGCTACGGCTGTCCTTGTTAATGAGTCGACACGCACTCTCGACTGAGGTTGGGGATAGCGTGGAGATAGTGGAGGACAGGGGGGTTTTGGGGGGGTATACGTGTTGGGTCATGCAATTAATTATCAAGTGTTTTAAGCGACGGCTGCGGTGTTGAACTTGAACTTGAAAGTCCGGAGCCTTAAAGCGTCCGCTTTATTGATTTTTCCTCGCTTACAAATACCAAAAGAGTATTCAAATTTGTGTATAGTATTAGCTATATGTGTGTGTGTATGTGTGTATGGGTGTCTGGTCCGTCGCTGCCACATGTCAGGGCCAAAGATTTAAATCGAAAACGACAGCGCTTGCTGGTTTATTTTTTCATTCCGTTTTTTAAAAGTTTTTTCCCCTCGATGAATATATTTTTGAACCCTTTCGCTTTGCGCGCTGTTTTGTCCTTCACTCAACCCTCAACTGGCGGCATGGACTTTGGCCAAGGATGCTGCTGGTCGCTGCACGGTAATTGCTTATTTAAGCGCGCGCCTTCGTCCTTTAATGGGATGGCAGTGGATGCATGGATGGATGGATGGATGGCATACTCGTACAATGGCAAAACAAAGCAAAGCAAATGCCGTGTGTAATTATTGGCGGCCTGCCGGGCGGGCTGAGTAGCCAACCAATTTGTCAGTCCGGCAGTCCGACAGTCCAACAGTCCGTCACTCTGCTTCAACTGGGAAGCATCCGGGCAGCTGTCTAGCCTGAGTCTGAGTCCGAGTCGGAGCCTGAACCTCAACTTGAACCTGGCCAGGCCCAAAATGAACTGCAAAATCAGGGCGGAGTGCGGGCACCAT